CCACGCTTCTAGCGTCAAGGAGAATTGGTAGATACATATGGTCCAAGTTGGGGAAGATATATAGGACCTTGTCATTCTTTTTATCAGTATATATATTGGCAGATTAATTATCTTCTGAACTTCCAGTTCAGTTTACTTCTTATGAACTTCTAGTTCAGTCTACCTAGTACGTGGATTCAAAATATTGAAGATCAATCATTCATAGAATTTCTCGGCATTCTATAAAATTTGAGATCTTATCTCCCCCTAATGCCGTGAAATGATCTTCATAAAGTGTGCAGTCAGCGTACCTAATTATATATTGATCCCTTATCATGGGCTCTAAGAATTTAAATAACAGACGGAGGTTTATAATCAACATATACATGCCCACAAAGGTACGCTATGGTGGTGATATAGGAAAAAGACTGCACACTGTGAATAAAACGCAGATGGGAAATGTTTGGTTTTATACCACGTACTAGGTTCTAGGGGGAATAATTATGATATGCAGTAGGTCAGATTGTGATAACCACAATAGCATATAAAACTGATGTCCCCAACAAGAAAATATATAATCAGATATGAAAACATACATATCAAATGATATTACATGGATACGCAACAATCATAGGGAAGCTGTGAAGCTTGTCAAATAAAATAGATCTTCAAGATCACTCAAAAATCCGTATCCTCAACTTTACATTAGTTCACTAACTGGTTTGGGAATTGCTTCATGCAAATTCACATGATATAATTCACTCCCTCATTTGCTTCGGGCAAACAGATATGAAATAATTCATTCCCTCGTTTGCTTCGGGCAAACTGGCATGATATAAGTTACTCCCTCGTTTGCTTCGGGCAAACTAACATGATATAATTTACTTCTACCTTTCAAATAACATTTAAACAAATTACATCATTTATGGCATAAATCAATTATCATATATTCTTATATAGGAGTATTCCATTTCTTAAATAACACAAAATTGCACTAAGCCATATTCGGAGAAATATTCAACATTATATTTTGACATCTTAAATTTAGTCAAAAGATGATTATCATAATTTTTTGATAATAGCAATCCTTCCGGAATTGGTATAGGATATGTAGAACAAATAATAATTCAACTTTGAATTAGCAACCAGTCAATTGCATACGAGAGTCATGTTGCATGCATGAGAAAAATTTCCATAAATAAGCATGCAAACTAAGAGAAGTAACTCCGAGAAGTAAACTTCCTCCGGAAAATAAAGTCCAGGAAGTAAACATCATTCGAATAGTAAAAATTTCTAGGCTTACCACTCCATGTTAAAGCTTAGAGAACGAAGTAAACTTTCAGAATAGTCAATTCGAGTCATTTTTCACTCATAATAATTTGCGTCCAAAAATAACTTAACTTTTCGAATATTATGATCTTCATGCTTCAGGCATAAACTAACTTTTTCGGCCATGAATATATTTTCATGCATTGTTCAAAACATTATCATGACACCAATCGTTTCTTCATCTATACCTCATCATTTCATTATCATAATTTATCGCAATATTTGCTTTAGACAAATTAGCTAGAATCATCAAGATGAGGTTCATTCTCCGATGACCAAATGCTTTGGTGTGCGGCACATAGGGACCAATGCCGTTCACACCGACATTGATATCAAACTTGCTTCGGGCTAGAATTTTGACTCGATGAGTTTTGGTTGTCCTTGAATATTTTGATCACTTTGTTTCTTATTCTGATCTCGAAACTCACACCACACCGGTTATAATCTCGACTGCAACCCCTTATAAAGTTACTCAACTAGGTAACATTATGTGCTTCAGGCACCTGTGCAAAATCAACCAGACATGCATTTTGATTCTTCATCAACAACTAGTTATGTCTCATAGCCACAAGAAGTGCTATAATCAGCTTAGGATGTTTCTCATAATTTGTTGTCTTGTACTGCTGCTGGAGTACAAATTACTCACACGAAAAGTTGGCAATTTTTTTCAATTAAATATTTCTCTAAAACTTCTTGTTTAGAGTTTCACTTCTGAGACTATTTTGTGCAGAGCTGAATTATAGTCAGTTACTGACTTATATATAATCTTAAAACTTAAGATTAATCTAGTCAAATTGTGTCTGTGGAAGGACAATAGATAACTACTAGTCAAAATGGTCCTTCAGGGACTTACATAACGCAATAGCGACTTTTTCAATCAAATACTCATTTTTAAGATCGTGGTTCAAGTAGTGACGTATGAAAATGAGAGCTTGTGCCTTCTGGGCATCGGTTCTCTGTGACTTGGAACCAAAAGTTTGGCTCGATTTCTTAGATGCCAAAAATATTTCAATATCCAAAGCCCAAATGAAATAATTGCTATCGACATGAGCGAGCTCAATAAATTCGCATTTTCAATGAAAGTCATAATCTACAAGATCATCGTTTGATGCAACTTTAGGAAGCAATGTGACAACTAGTGGAAAAATCACTATTTTGAATACATGTTCAAGTAATGGATGAAGAAACACCTTTTACATAAATATGCATATCCGTTTCTTAGCATTCTAATACAAACACAACAATCCAATGCAAACATAATAAGGACCGATTATGCATTCGATCTCCATAATCATAGAACATAGATGGATACATATACATACAATTTGGCATATAACCAAAATGGTGCAACACGAATCAGTGAGGCAAACACCAAATTGATGCAGCAAGCATCGACTCGTGTTTATAGCATCAACTCGTGCTACAGGCAACGAGTGGTGCTTCAATCTCCAATACACCTAATTGATGCTCCCAAGTCATCAATTAAGCTTTAAAGTCTTACTCACTCTTAAGCTTCCACAAAATAAACTTTAACAATCTTAATTAAAAACCATTCATTCATTGCCTAATCAGGCACAAAAACGAATTGCTAATCACATGCAAACGACATATCATAAAAACATAATAATGCACTACAACATAGGGTTTATAACATACAAAGTATGCGAAATGAAAATAATATGTACACATACATTGCATCTTCATACGAAAAGTCACTTCTATTTACACAAACATATATATCACATGCTTTTCTTTCAATTTGAAGAATCAAAAATAAAATTGGAAATATATATTCAGGAATTTACACAATCATATATATATATATATATATATATATATATATATATATATATATATATATATATATATATATATATATATATATATATATATATATATATATATATGAACCAATATGTGAAATTCATATTTCAAATTTTAGAATCAATATGTATCATATCAATCATGCATTTCATAATCATATCAAGAGGTGTAGAATCAACATGTGTCATAAAAAAACATGTATTATATGAAACCTATGAACATGCTTGCCTAGTATAAAACCATGTATTATAACAGGCCCGAGCATACCGTTCACCGAGGAATATGTTGGCGATTCGTGCTGATAACGTGTTGTAATTTGGCCTATCAACTCGTTAGTTCTCGCGTGATGATTACACGGTAATTGCCCGGAGATTATATATATAAGATTATAAAGTGTAGAGATGTAAGAAGAGGAGAATGACACAAGATGTAGAGCACAAACATAAGACCTCTAATTTCATTAAGCCTTCACATGTATTTATACTAATCCATACAACCCTTCAGATGCTTAACATAAACAATATATTAAGTAGAAGGAAAATGGAGAGTCTCAAGATTAATGGCCACTAATAAAATATTTATAATAGAGACCATCTCATGAATACAAAAATAATACTTATGATGAAAAGTGTAATACTAATTAGGATTACATTGATTGATAGTTATGAGTCAAAGTGTAACACAGGAAAAATGTAATATTTAAAAAAAATGTAGTACTTTTCTAATCATGATAAATTGATTGTTACTTATAAAAAAAAGTGTAATACTTATAAAAAAGTGTAATATTTAGGGGTTGAATAGTTACTTATGTAGGAAATTTCTAATACTTATAAGGGACAATATAACACGAATTTGACCAGTTGTTTATTTTTTAATACATTAAACATTTATTTTGTGTACTAAAAAAATATTTTTTAATATATTACGTAAAAGTAAACATTTAATACCCTAAAATTTTCATGATCCACAATCTAATTTGTCGTTCACTATCTTGTGGGCACTTTACAGCTAACTTCACATTGATTTCTTATCCTTGGTAGTTGGGGAATTTATGTGGACTTTGCTTCCCAATTTCGTTGGTTCTCTTCTTCATTTATTTTTAAACTTTGTTCAAATGAATTAACGGGTCGATTTATCAAAAAAAAAAAATTTAGTATATATACTTACCATATATAAATCATTATATATACTTGTTGAATTCTTATTTATGGCCTTAAGCCTTTGTTTATTTTTAAAAAAAAGTTTTTACTAATATTATTTTGTTTAACCAACCAATTCACCATCTTTATTGACTTTGTTTTTTTTGTGTGCAAAATTTGGTAGTTGAAAGATATGTTAATATAATCAACCAACAAAATTTGGTTAAAGTTACTCTCCTATGAGATCATCTCATGATTTTTTTTGGGTGAGATAGTTCAAGTTTAAATTGAAATATAATACATATGATGAAAAATGTAGTACTAATTACAATTAAATTGCTTGTTAGTTATGAGGCAAAGTGTAGCACTTACAAGGGTGGGTCTAGAAATCTTCGTCAGTAGGGGCGAAAGATTAAAAACAAATGAAATATTTTGAAAAAAATTACTTAGAGACCAAGTCATAACTGTTGTTAATTATTATATGATGAAAAATAAAAATACATCAAAATGAGATATAAAAAATTAAAACAAAATATGAAATATTATTAATTACATACAATAATTTGAATAAAAATCATATTATAAAACTCTCATATCACTATTAATATTAAAAAAATAAAAAGAAAAAAATACAATGTTACAAATAAAAATTCCACAAAATATGAAATATAATTAATTAGATAAAATAGTTTGAATAGAAAACATGTTAGGGTCTAGTTGGTTTAAAATTCAATGCCATATGTAGGGATGGTAGAAATCTCCACAGTGCCGGCCTGCCCATGTTGCTTCAAACAAATTAGCACATATTATTAGTGGTAGTGCTCTTTTGGATTTGCATGTAACATTTTTAGGGGTGCCACAAATGGTGCGACTCCTCCTCAATTTTAGGTGACGCAAATTTCCAATCTCTTTAGGAAGTCTAGAAAGACACTCACATCCTTCAAGGTCTAGAATTTTCAAGTTACCCAAATAGCAAATTGAATTAGGTAACTCTTCAACTTTGCTCTGACATAAATAAATCTTGCTTAGGTGACGCAAATTTCCAATCCCTGCTGGAAGTCTAGAAAGACACCCACATCCTACAAGATTTAGAATTTCCAAGTTATCCAAAAAGCAAATTGAATCAGGTAGCTCCTCAAATTTGGTCTGACTTAAATCAATCAATCTTAGGTGACGCAAATTTCCAATCCCTTCAGGAAGTCTAGAAAGACAATCACATCCTTCAAGTTGTAGATATTCCAAGTTATCCAAAGAGCAAATTGAATCAGGTAACTCCTCAACTTTGCTGAAATGTAAATCAATTGTTCTTAGGTGGTGCAAATTTACAATCTCTTCAGGAAGTCTAGAAACACACTCACATCCACTTAGATTTAGAGTTTCCAAGTTATCCAAAGAGCAAATTGAATCAGGTAACTCCTCAAATTTGGTCTGACTTAAATCAATTAATCTTAGGTGACGCAAATTTCCAGTCCCTTCAGGAGTCTAGAAAGGCACTCACATCCTGCAAGGTTTAGAATTTTCAAGTTATCCGAAGAGCAAATTGAATCAGGTAACTTCTCAACTTTGCTCTGATCTATATTAATCTCACTTAGGTGACACAAATTTTCAATCTCTTCAGGAAGTCTAGAAAGACACTTACATCCTTTAAGGTTTAAAACTTTCAAAATCAAACACTTTAAGCACAGAATCCACGCACCTTAAAAATGAAAACCATACACCTTAAGTTTGACTTAAACGAAAAAAAAAAGACAAAATTGTCACTGCGTTTTTGTTTAATCAATGTTAATTTTGGACATTGTTCTTTGACAAGATTAATGGCTCTCATCTCACCCCACGTTCGCACACGAGCACACCATCTGCATTTGATCCACACACACACACACACACACACACACACATATATATAACGAATCATGTGAAATAGAAGCCTTAGGTGAAAAATAGGATTTAATCACATTCATTGATTCATTCCTGATCAACAATCAGAATGAAGAGATTTTTTTTTTTTTAAATGTGGTCGCATTTTGGTAATCTTGTGAAATTAAGTTTTTTTTTCTTCTAGTGCATATTTTCCCTTCTTGCAGAGCACGTTGTTATGTCTTCCAAAGCACAATGTTGTCCCTTTGAAGTGAATATATTAATTGTTTGGCTTAGAGTGCATATAATTGAGTCTTCCTGAGCATATTATTGTGCCTTCGATCGTAGGTGTTATATATATACCTTTTTAAAGAACATTTGATCTTGAATGAATAACTAATTACTAATTTTAGTTGAATATTATGATCGTTTATGATTTGTGTTGATGACCATGCATTAAATTTAGTATTTTCAATAAGTATTTCATAATTTTCTACCTTACAATGCACATTTTTGTCTTTTTCAGAGTTCTAGTGTGCATTGTCACTTTTTCCAGAACACATTATTGTGCTTTCAAGCTTTAAGATCGTAGGTGTTATAATATACATACATACATACATACATACACACACATATATATATATATATATATATATATATATATATATATATATATATATATTTATTTATTTATTTATTTATTTAGGTTCTGGTGCGGTTAGGGTGCCCAGGTGCGGTTGTGCGGTTTAATTTGGGCCTTTCATCTCGCTTAAATCAACGTTCAGGATTATCAAAGTTTTTTAAAAAAACGCGGTGGCAATTTTGTAATTTTTGCATCTAGGTCAAAATTAAGGTGAGCGGATCTGTGATTAATGTGGGTGAGTTTTGTGCTTAATGTGCGTGTGTTTTGTGTTTAATGTGCGTGAATTTTGTGCTTAATGTGCGTGGGGTTGTGGTTATCGTGAGTAGTTGTTAAAACTTAAAGTCTGTGAGTTAATACTTAAAGTGCGTGGGTTTTGTGCTTAATGTGCGTGATGTTGTGCTTAATGTGCGTGAGTTTTGTACTTAATGTCGTGAGTTTTGTACTTAATGTCAGTAGTTGTTGAAATTTAAAGTCTGTGAGTTAATATTTAAAGTGCGTGAGTTTTGTACTTAATGTGCGTGAGGTTGTGCTTAATGTGTGTGAGTTTTGTACTTAATGTGCGTGAGTTTGTACTTAAGATCTAACACTTAAGGTGCGCCTTAGCTTATACTTCTTTGTTCCAGACACGCGTTTTTTTTTTTTTTAATTTTCATTGATTTGAGCCGTTGATCTAAATTTGATCAACTGCTCAGATTTAACCGCACAACCGCACAGGAAGCTATACCCGCACCTGAACCCTTCCCTATATATATATATATATATATATATATATATATATATATATGGTTGCGTTCACATCAGAGCAGTAATATATAGAGGAATGTGCGGACTGATAATGGGCACACGATCATGCACACAATTTAATACACATTAGCACACATTGAAAGTGAGTCACTTGGAGTTTGCGGATGATCTAATTAATGCTTTTCTGTCTAGGGGATGCTAATTCGGTTGACATATTCATGAGGGCATTGAATGAGCTGGAGAAAACTTCTGGATTGGCCATTAGTCCGAATAAATCCAATTGAGCTGAAGGCAAATCAATCCGGTACGCAGGTGTCAGCGGTATAATGACACCTCCAACAACGCATACCAGCGGTTAAGTGAGTTAACTCATTTGTTTTGTGAAACATTACTCTGCTTTTGGGTTACATTGTATTTGTTCTACAAAGAATCTCAAGACTTAGATATGGGTCTACTGGAAGCATGCATGGGCTACTCAAAATCCATTCTTTTGGAACAAAGATCACATTGCTAAACTCTCAAAAACCTCCCGACCTTTTAGTTCCCTTTGTTGTTGTGAGATAACCTTGTGCCATCCAAATTCTGATGAGCTCATCTACTTCTATTGTATAATCCTTGAGAAAGATAGCACAATATGAGACAGATTTGTTTTAGTGATTGACTCAACAATGGCTTGTGCAATCTTGATCTGGTCAAAAGGGTTTGAAACACAAACCCACACCCTTTCATGAAAATGAGTCTTTATCTGTTCATCGCCATAGACTAGTTGAGCAAGTGTAGTTTTGCCTATCCCTCCCTGCCCCACTATGGAAATGACAGAGGGACCATTTCTTGCTTCTTCTTTTTCTTCTCCACTACCATTCTTCAGCAACTCTCTTATTACATCACTGGCATCGGATTTCCGACCTTGAATCTCTGATGCCTCCACATCAAACGGAGTAGTGGCCACTCGTCTCTGTTCATGATCAGAGGCGTGTGTGTGTGTTACAGTAGACGGCGATGCATAAACAAAATTGAACTGATCTTTCTCTTTCGTAATCCCATCAAGTCTTGAATCAAGTTTTTTAATTTTCAGGGCGATGTCTCGATTCATAACATACCGTTTGAAATGGAAACAAGATGAGCTGAACCAGCTGCTTCTTGCTGGAGCTGCAGCAATCTGTTGTCTGCAAGTCTTGGATCTCTTCCACCCACAGCTTGACGCCCTTCTCCTTGAAGCTTCTCCTCTCTGCATCATCCAACACCTCCCTGATTTTCTTGAGCTTTGATGACAGGTTTTTCATCTCCTTCTCCACACCCAACACTGCTCTTAGCTCCTGGAATTGGTCGTTGATGATGATGAACAGCTGATCCACAACAACGGAGATGATAGCGTCGGTGGCCATGATTCACTGGATCTGTACTCTCTACTCTAGTGGACACTGAATTTTGCTTTTAGAGATAGATGAGATCAGATGACAAGCTTTGCTTTGCTTCTGTCTGTCTGTGTTGCTTTACATTGTACAGTAAAAAAGAAAATGTAATTTACTTTAATGAATTCAAAAAGGATTCCATGCTGAAGAAGTGAAGATGTCCTTGGAGAATGAAGATGCTCATGCTTTGATCATTGCAAAAATGAGGAATATAATATGAAGGTAAAGCTAAGTGCAGCAGAACTTTTGAAAAAGGTTTCCCATGCCTTTGATTTTATTAATGTGAAGGGTTGATGGCTGTTTATGGGAATTAGAGGCTGATGAGCCGGATTTATTGGACTTTAAGTTATAATTGTTATTTATTTTTTTAGAAAAAAAAAAATCAATCCCGCAGTTGGCCTGCGCCTGAGCCCGCATGAGACAAGTTAGGGTTACATAAACCCTAGCTCGTGAGCCTAGCGAACCAGTCCACAAAAGTTCGCTAGAATTTAGGTTTGTTGTGAAGCAAGTCGATCTGCTTTGACACCCCTACCCATAGGGGTCAATTCAATGTCTTTGTTTTGTTGACACTTTACAGCTCAGTAAGCATTCATTTCTCCTATCTCATTGCTAGTTGGGGAATTTTATTTGGACTTTGCTGGTTCTCTACTTAGATAAGGACAACATGCTAGCTTGTGTTTAATATATTATATGATAAATTTTTGCAATAGTGAATAAAAATGATAATTCACCTTTTTTTCTAATAGGTTAGACAGAAAATTGGAGTCATAGTATTGATTGATTTGTGGGTATTACTACAAAGAGAATGTAGGGTTGGACTGTGGAAAAGTTTAAAAAAATATAGAGTTAATGCCATTTTTGGTCCTAAACTTATTGGGGTGTCGACAGTTTTCATCCTCCATAATAAAAATTGCCAATTTGTAGCCACACTTATTGATCGTATGACACTTTTAGTCCTTCGTCTAATATCTCGTTAGTTGACCGTCTAAATGAGGGGTATTTCTGTCATTTCAACTTATTCTTTTGATCATATGCATAAATGACATTGTTTTGTTGGTCCCGCACTGACGAAGAGGTTGAGAAGCGAGCGTGGAATCGAAGCAAAGGCAAAGACGACGACGCAACCATCTGTTCCTCGTCGTTCGATGGGCTGTTCAAATGAAATCGTTGCGACGCTCGTCCAAAAGGGTTTGGCGATGACCTCGAAGATCTCAGTAGCGATGAAGGCGATAATCGATGATGACCTCGAAGATCTCAGTAGCGATGAAGGCGGTAATCGATAATGACCTCGAAGATCTCAGCAGTTCGTAGACCCCAACAACCCAGATTGGATTGCGATCAGCCATATGTTTGCGATCGGTCAAAGAATCGTCCGATCATGCGAATTGCGGTGCCTATGGAATTTCTTAGGGCGGAGCTTCAATCGGTGCTGCGTCTAGAAGGGGAATTGCAGGTTGGATCTCTGAATCATAGAAGTGTCCTCATGCGATTCTCTCTAGAAGAGGATTGTAGGAGGGTTCGGCTGCAAAGTCAAGCAATGGTGGATGGAAAGCCATTTTTGGTTCGCGAAGTGGACACCAGAGGGGGGAGACAACAGAGATTCGTGAATTTTAGCAGATTAGCTCCTCAAATTGTAAGGTATGAATTGATGAATTCTATCTCAAAATAAAGCCTGAAGAAGAAGACTAGTTGAAATGACTAACAGGATGGCTTCGAAGCCAGCTAGGGGCTTGTGGAGGTGGGAGGAAGCGGAGGACAACGAGGTGGAGATCGGGCTCAGAGGAGTGGAAGGTGTCATAGAGCCAGCAGCAGAGGTTGTTTTCGCCGGTGTTGGAGTCCGGTTGGCGGAGGTGATCGGAGATTTGGGTTGCGATCTCGGAGTCATGGAGGAGGGGGAACGCTGGTGTCTTGGAGGAGGAGAGTGACGGCGGGGTGTAGGAGATGATGGAGGTGAGGGCTTTGATGGCGGTGGGCTGCGATCTCGGAGTCTACTGTTGTTTATTGTTTTTTCCGCTAAGCTAAAGGGATCCAGTTTATTAAGCAACACTGGCTTAGGCCATTTGCAGGGCGTTTGGTTGGAGGGATTTTAAATTCTCTTCCCACTTAATTCCCACCTAATTCCAAAGGCCATTAAATTCCGTAGTTTGGTTGGAGGGAATTACAATTCCATGGAATTGCAATTCCCCCATTTTCTTGGAATTAAAATCCCATGTCCCCCCGGGATTTTAATTCTTGGGAAAAAAAGATAATGATGAGTCAAAATTACTCCTTCCTTTTTTTAACTTAAAATTAATGTCTAACAACAATAATGGACATTTTTTACTTTATACTACTTATTCCCTTTCAATTCCCATGTATACCAAACATTGGAATTGAAATTCCCAGTAATTCTATTCCTGTCAACCAAACACTAGAATTTAAATTCCCACTTTATTCCCAGTAATTCAACTCCCATGGAATTACAATTCCTTTCCTACATAATTCCCCCCTCCAACCAAACGCCCTGTTGGTTCTTGTTCTTGATTCTTGAAAAAACAATGTGGTGTAGTTTCTTGTTTCGCTTGAACACAGGTTGATTCAACGGATTGATCTTCTCGTGAAAATGAAGGGTAAAAACGAGCATTGACTAATACGATTAGAAGAACACAAAAAGACAGCTTTGCCCTTCTATTTCACGGTCAACAGACGGTTTCATTGACGGAGGACTAAAAGTGTCCAATGACCAATAAGCGTGGCTGCAAATTGGTAATTTTTATTATGTAGGATGAAAAATGTCCATACCCCAATAAGTCTAGGACCAAAAATGACAATAACTCAAAAATATAATAAAAAAGTGTTGACTCTTGTGAGAGGGGTTTAGGCTTCATAAGAGTTGTTTATAGATAATGTCATGTTGAAACTCAACTAGATTACTCATCTTGCACGTAAGTTAATTTGATTTGTGTTCTTTTGCAAAGTTTAAAATTTATAAGTTAATATATGAGACTTGCATTGCATATCTTTCAAATTACTTTTTAATAATAAAGTGAACTACTTTAATAAATTTAAAAACATTTTTAAAGATAATGCCTATCTAATTGTTATCAGTTAAAATGCAAATTAATATTCATTCATCATCACCAATCTTAAGGTATATTTGAAAATTATATTTGAAAATTTGAAAAATGACTTTCAAAAGTCATATTTCAAAATTCACCATACCAAATATAGTATTTAGTGGCAATTTATATGATGTTTAGCGACGGTTACAAATTGTCACTATTGTATTCCCCGACAATTATTGAACCGTGACTAAATAGTGTCTCGCGAAGGATTTAGCCGTTATTTTCTACAACCGCATAAATTAATGAAAAACTTATTTCATGGCGCTATTGAGTGCAATTAGCAACGATTTTAAAACCGTTGCTAATATTTACTTTAAACTTTAGCGGCGATTTTAATATTTATTTAATATTTACTTTAAATTTTAGCGGCAGTTATTAAGTGTCGCTAGTAAAAGAATACTCTTTAATTTTAGTATTATTAGTAGCGATTTTATAACTGTCGCTAAAATATATTTTTGTTTTCTTGTAGCATTTTCTCATCTAATAGCGATTGTTCTTAATTGCTACTAAAATTTGTATGATACTTTTTGTTATATATTTTTGTAATTGTCATTAAATTACTTTTTGTTATAAATCTCTACTTTCAAATGTGCATTGCAAACACAAATAAATACACATTTTCCATGAGTGTGGCTCAGTCTATGCCTACATTTTTCATGAGTGTTTTTTTGCTGCCTGAGACAGTCTGTTTATCTATTGAGCGAACCATGAATAAATTATGGTGGAGAGGTGGTGCAGACCGGGGAATACATTTGAAGGCTTGGGATACATTATGCATCCCTAAGAAATTTGGTGGTTTGGGGTTTATAGAGTTGCGTGCATTTAATTTGGCTATGCTAGGGAAACAGGCATGGCGGTTCCTTACTGAATACTGACCCAACCACTCTGACAGTAAGAATTTATAAGGCTCGATATTATCCTACAACCAATTTTGTTGACGCGACTGTAGGAAATTGCCCAAGTTTTTGTTGGAGAATATTATGGCTGCGCATGATCTAGTATGCTCAAGAATTGGAAACGAATAGACAACATTAATATGGGGACACCCTTGGCTACCAGAGAACTCAGACTTTTAGTTCAAACACTTATGCGGGAAGCATTAGTGGCTGGCCTAATTGATCAACAAACAAAGACAAAGACCTGGGATCCGAATATTCTATCTGATCTTATCGCTATGATCCTGTTAGCCCGGATTATGAAGACTCATGGTATTGGATGGGAGACCCAAAAGGGATATACACGGTAAAAAATGCCTATAGTCGCATTGTTGGTGATTTTGTTAATAACCCTAGGTGCTTTTGATAAATGGGTTACAATGTGGAAATTGAAGATACCACCTAAATGAAAGACATTTTTATGGAGAGCTATATGTAATATACTTCCCACCACTGATAATCTGATTATAAAGAGGGTAGAGGTAGATCCTATATGCCCAATGTGTGGGTTGGCACATGAGGATGTTATGTATACTCTAAATTATTGTGATTATTCTAGGATGGTTTGGAATGTTTCAGAATTACCTATCACAAATATTATGACTCATTCTTTACCATCATGGCTTATGGGTATGTTAAACACCTTGACAGACGAACAATGTGGCGTTGCGATTGGAGTGATGTACTACTTATCGCAAGCTCGCAACTCGGCGGTTTGGGAGAGGGCTTTACCGCGACCTGGGTAGACTTGGAGAAGGGCAACAATGGCCGAGAACACGTACAGGCGTTTGCACCGCCGACAGCAACAGCCGACGCAAATGACGATTCCCACGGGCGTGACACACACTAGGCTGAGATGCTTCTTCGATGCTGGTTACAAACAGCCCATGGGAGAAGCAACGTACGGAATGGTGTTGCTAGGCCACGATGGATCGTTTGTAGCGGCAAAATGTGGCAAGCTACCCGAAGCTTTCTCACCCCTTATGGCAGAGGCACTGGCTTGCAAGGAAGCTCTTTCAATGGCTCAAGGAGCACAATACACTGGCGGTCGATCTTCTAACGGATTGCATGGAACTACGGAACGCCGTATACTCAGGCTCTACGACGACTTTGTCCTACGTTGGGGTGATTGCTGACCAATGTAGGGCGTCTTTATCATTATTTATTCACTATTCTTTGAATTATATTTCTAGAACTTTAAATTTACATGCACATGCTTTAGCTTCTTTAGCTTTCGATCAGGATCAGTCTATGTATTGGGACTCTGTCCCTCCTGACTCTATTGCTATGTTCATTCAGTAATATACCAATGTTATTTGGCTTTCAAAAAATACACATTTAATTTAAAAGAAAATCAAATGTAACTTGTATTGCCAAAATGCCAAGTACTAATATTTTACAATATTGAAGTAAGTTACATATTAAAAAAAAGTTCAATTGTAAATAATAATTGTCAAATAATAAAATTTAACAATATTCAAGCAAAATAGTCTACTTATTAATTAAATTTCATTATGACTAAAAAATATGTGTTATATGAAAAATATAACACAACATTTTAGTTCATTCAAAATGATGCTATCATGCAAGAGATTTTCTGTTCACACTCAATGACTTGGATATTGGTCTAATTCAAAGGAACAAGACATCAATATGCTGCCAAATAAAGCTTTGCCTCTCAAGTAAACTTTGGGCATTCAAGAAAATGAGGGGAAAAAAGGCAATGAACTACCTCCCTTCCTTGTCCTTTGTTTCCTTTGTTCTTCCCAAAAGGTTGAATCCCCAACCCCAAGGGCCCCGGCCCGACAGAATTCCTTTGTTCTCCTAAGCATTAATTAATGACTTAAAAATTGCCTTGCTCAGTTTCCATGCTCTGTGATTACTATTCTCATAATGTCTTTGTATTAACTTATTCTACCTAAAAGATAGCAAAGTTAAGCAATCTAGTTTAGTTAAACTTATTACATGTATATACAGTTATATTAATATATAAGGCATACCAGGCCCAATTGCACCATGGCTCAACATGCAAGAAACACAGAAGGCTGTAAAGATCTTGCACATTATTCTGCAGCAATTAGTGAGGACATCATTAACTAAATTAGATATCGAGAACTATCTAAAAAGTATTATATTTCTCACGTGAGACGGTCATGCAGAGAAATTAATATATGCAACAAAAAAAAAGTTAAAGAGAAAAAGAAGTAATAACAAAGAAAACTCACTCCCCGCTCTCTGGGTGTTTCCAATGCAGAAGGAAATTCTGCAGTTACTTCACTAGAGAAAATGTTCACCTAAATTGTAAGACCCCTCCAGTTGAGAAGCTTGGCCAGCAAATTAAATTCCCAATACCTTACACTGCTTCCTCCAAATCTCGGTCATCTGCTGCATTTACTGAGAAGATTGGACTGGAATCTTCAATCAATTCCATCTGCTTCCTCCCCTCAGATCCCCTTGGAGTTACTAATTACTTCAACTTCCCCATCTATCTATCCCCTTGGAGTTACTCACAACACTCGCTCAAACACTTCAACTACGTACAAATTAAAGCTGCAGATGAGTTATTAGCTTCACCATACCTTCAGATGCAAATATCCGATCCCTTCTGGAAGTCTAGAAAGACACTCACATCAATGAAGATATAGAGTTTGCAAGTTATCCAAAGAGCTAATTGAATCAGGTAACTCCTCTACTTTGCTCCAACGTAAATCGATCTTGTTGAGGTGTTGCAAATTTACAATCCCTTCAGGCAGTCTAGAAAGACGCTCACATCTATGAAGATCTAGAATCTGCAAGTTATCCAAAGAGCAAATTGAATCAGGTAACTCCTCTACTTTGGTATAACTTAAATCAATCTTGCGTAAGTGACGCAAATTTCCAATCCCTTCAGGTAGTCTCGAAAGACAGTCACATCCTTGAAGGTCTAGAATTTCAAAGTTATCCAAAGAGCAAATTGAATCAGGTAACTCCTCTATTTTGGTCCAACGTAAATCAATCTTGCGTAGGTGACGCAAATTTCCAATCCCTTCAGGTAGTCTAGAAAGACGCTTACATCTTTTAAGATCTAGAATTTGCAAGTTATCCAAAGAGCAAATTGAATCAGGTAACTCCTCTACTTTACTCCTATGTAAATCAATCTTGATTAGGTGACGCAAATTTCCAATCCGTTGAGGTAGTCTAGAAAGACAGCCACATCCTCTAAGATTTAGAGTTTGCAAGTTATCCAAAGAGCAAATTGAATCAGGTAACTCCTCTACTATGGTATAACTTAAATCAATCTTGCTTAGGTGACACAAATTTCCAATCCTTTCAGGAAGTCTAGAAAGACACTCACATCTTTCAAGATTTAGGGTTTGCAAGTTATCCAAAGAGCAAATTGAATCAGGTAACTCTTTTACTTTGCTCCGTTTTAAATTAATGTACCTTAGATGAATCAAATTTCCTATCTCCTTTGGGAGTTCCGACAACTTACAACCATACAATCCCAATACTCTCACAGATTTTAGAGCATTGAACATATTTGGAGTAAGTTGTTCTTGAGAAAGGTATTTAGCAAAAAAACTGCGAAGTTTTCCAACAACATCACAAATGGAAGCAGGGTCCAAAGGTTTTCCAGTTTTCTGCCATGACAAATGACGGTGATTTTCAAGTTTCACCTCATCCTCATGCGGGCTAATACTGTAGCATTCGTTTTTGGTAATAAACTCGGCAAAATCATGCACTATGTCATGCATTTTGCAATATATGATGATGTTGGAATCTCTGCCATGTTTCTTCAAATCTTGGAAAAAAGAACGCATTGCTAAATTTCGAAAAACATCCCAACCTTTTAGTTCCATCTGATTCTGATCACCTCTTCCATTTTTTGTTGTGAGATAACCTTGTGCCATCCAAATTCTGATGAGGTCTTCTACATGTATTTCATAATCCTTGGGAAAGACAGCACAATACGAGAAACATCGCTTCATCTGTGGGGTTAGATCATCATAGCTTAGATACAAATGAGGAAAGAGATCTGTTTCCACTTCCTCCATCTCCCAGATTTTACTATCAAAAACATGTTGCCACTCCTCCTCAGTGTGTTTGTAACGTAGCAGGCTTCCCATGACCGTAACCGCAAGGGGTAGTCCTTTGCACTTTTGAGCAATTTTCTGACCAATTTCTTTCAGTTTCTTAGAAACCTCCTCCGTTCTCTCGGAAAATGCTATCCTACTAAGCAACAACCAAGCATCTGAGTCGGATATGAGCTGCACCGGATGCAGATGCACACTTCCCATCATTCTTGCAACTCTCTCACTCCTTGAGGTTACCAAGATTATACTACCAGGGACTCCAACCTTGAGGAGACAGTTCTTAAATGGCGCCCACTTTGCATTCTCCTCTGTCCACACATCATCCAACACAAGTAGGAACCTGTAGGGAAATATAAACAATATAAACACTCAGATATAATAATATATATATAGCATTATTTTAACAGGTTGAACCTAACCTTTTCTGAGATAAAGTGGTTTGGATTTTTTCCAGTAACATTTGCAATTGAAAGAGATCTGTGGAGCTTTTAGTGGTTGACTCAACAATGGCTTTTGCAATCTTGATCTCGTCAAAAGTGTCTGAAACACAAACCCACACCCTTTCATCAAAATGAGCTTTTATCTGTTCATCACCATAGACTAGTTGAGCAAGGGTAGTTTTCCCTATCCCTCCCGCGCCCACTATGGAAATGACTACAGGACCAGGGGGGCCATTATTATTATTAATCTCCAACAACTTGCTTATTAAAGCACTGGCATCTGATTCCCGACCTTGAATCTCTGATTCATCCACAAACGAAACACTGCTAACTCGCTTAGTTTGTGTGCGCTCTACAGATGCATGATCAAATCTGAACTGATCTTTCTCTTTCGTAATCCGATCAAGTCTGGAATCAAGTTCCTTTATTTTCTTGGCGATGTCACGATACATAACAATCCTTTTGAAATGGAAACAAGAAGGCAGGAAAGAGCTACAGCTTCCTGCAGCTGGAGCTGCTGCAACCTCCATCTGTTGTCTGCGAGTTCTGGTGTTCCACTGGTCAAGAACATCTTCCACATCGTAGCACAAGTCTTGGATCTCTTCCACCCACAGCTTGACGCCCTTTTCCTTGAAGCTTCTCCTTTCTGCATCATCCAACACCGCCCTGATTTTGTTGAGCTTTGATTGGAGGTGTTTGATCTCCTTCTCCACACCGAGCGCTGCTCTTAGCTCCTGGGCTTGGTCCTTGATGATGATGGACAGCTGATCCATAACAATGGAGATGATAGCGTCGGCCATTGTTCACTCTGTACTCGATCTGTAGCAGTGGAGACTGGAAGAGTTTTAGAGATAGATGAGATGATAAGGTTTAATTGGTTTGCTTTGCTTTGCTTGTGTCTGTCTGTTGCTATCATATATCATTCCTATGCTTACATACAAAGTGTAATATAATATAAAGTTACAAAAATGTAATTTACTTTATTTTAATGAATTCAAAGTGTAATATACTACTACCGCAATATACTTCCCCGTATTTGTTTATGCATATTGTACTGGCCTAGCTAGATCATGTTTAGTAACATAGTTAGCTTATCAGTTAATTTTGATTTGTTTGATTATTATTAACTATTTTACTTAGTTAAACAGCCTATTATAAGTGTTTGGTTAATCAGTTTTTTGTAATAGTTTATTGCACTATAACGCTAAATTTTAAAAAGTTACTCGCTAATCTAACAAAAGCAACTTTGTAACAACTAATTTACCAAAATCATTCCACATTACAACTAGTTAATGCTATCAACTAGTCAGACCTGCTAACTCAATCCGCTAACCGCTATCAGCTAACACCTATTTGCCAAACACCCTCATAGTATTGCCAGTATCTACAAATACAATACAAATACAAATCTAAGAGCATCCATATCATTTCAAACATTTTCAGAGTTTTTTAAGCTTCATCTAAAAAAAGAGAAAGAGGGCAAGAAAAAAGGAGAAGAAAAATAAATAAATAAATAAATAAATTTAACAGCCTCAAGATGAAAAGTAAAAAAAAAAAAAAAAGCTTAAAACTGAAACAAAAACACGCCCAGTAGGCACGTGCCGCACGCGCCTACCAGGCGTGCTGGCTGCGCTTCACGCGCAACAACTTAATGCCTTCCCTCTTTTCTCTCAAATGGTGGATCCCACAAAAATACTACATTTGCAGGAAAAAAAAAAATTCTAAAAATCCATCCCCACATCAATAAAAAAAACCACCATTTGATTTTTTGTTCTAAAAAACCTTCACAAATTCACAAGTGTTGATGCTCTAATATGAGTCAATAAAGTTAAAAGAAGTGTTGGTGTAATTGTTTGCTGAAATAAATGACTCATATTATTTTGATTTTATTATTTTTTAATGATTTTCTTTCTTTTCCCTCTATTATATTATTTTCTTCCCTTAAATAACCCAGCATTCCGTTATTATAAACTTTAGAAACCGAATATTCCGTTAACTATTTATTATTCTTAACTTGCTCATTAATTTCAATAAGAAAGGTCTTAGGTTTGAACCTCATCCCAACCAAAGTTAGCATAATTGTTAAACATATACTATGAATATGTTAAAATGTATTAAAAAATACAGTATAAAATTTAACATAAACTTTTGTCAAATAATTAGCCCAACTAAATACATATCATTCAATCATTATATCATGCACCAGGGCGCACAATGCATTGTTTGTGCGCCCCGCCCTACCCAAAATAGTCCCTCGACTATGTCGTAATTACCAATTTGGTCCTCGACTATCATTCTTACCCAATTAAGTCCTCAACTATACAATTTTTACCTAATTTAGTCCTTTGTCAATTTGACTGTTTGTTGACTGTCAAAAGTGGAAATAAAGTTGTAATTTTACAAGTTTTCTCCTTCCTCCTCATTTAGCAGCGCCAAACAATGTAGCAATAAGCTCCGGTTGGGTTCTAAACTTGTCAGTATCGAAGTAGTGGTTATGCATCAGATAGCCCATGAATTTGATTTCCAACGATTTTTTGACGATCGAAATCTGATTGGAGTGTATTGCTGCATGGTTTGGCGCTACTAAATGGAGAGGAAGGAGAAATCTTGTAAAATTATAATTTTATCCCGACTTTTGACAGTCAACAAACAGTCAAATTAATACAGAGGACTAAATTGGGTAAGAATTGTATAGTTGAGGACTAAATTGGGTAAGAATTGTATAGTTGAGGACTTAATTGAGTAAAAGTTACATAGTTGAGGACTTAATTGGGTAAGAATGGTAGTTGAGGACCAAATTGGTAATTATGGCATAGTCGAGGGACCATTTTGGGTATTAACTCAAAAAAAAATCATCTGTTTCGAATGCACATAAACTCATAATAGAATACACATCATCTAACATAATACATAATACACATAAACTTTTAACATAATACACATAAACTCATAACATAATACACATAAACTCTTAACAGAATACACAAACTCTTAACAGAATACACATAAACTCATAACACAATACACAGAAACATTTAACCGAATACACATAATGGGATTTGGTCCGTTTGAACGGACACAGCTTCCGTTACGTCAATCCTCGTCAACAGCAATTGAAACGGCGTCGTTTTGTGCCTGTGCACCGTGGTGCACGATATAAGTTGCCCATATCATTCAAAGTTGAGCATCAAAAAGTATAAATCAGGAACCTTGTTCTAAATAATCATTTTAAAAAAATTAGGTTAAGTTTTTTATTTTTTTCGTTTAATTAATCTTTTTTTTTTGTTTATTTAAAACAAGACTTAATATTTCAATTATGCTTTTGTATTATTGAAAATGATTTAGGTCATTATGACATTATTGTATTAATATTTTGTGTATGTATTTTTATAATGGTACAATTGTACACTACTTTACAAATATTGTACTATTATTTTTTTATCGAACAAAATTATTCTTACATCATTGTCCGACCTGTGCGACCTAACTACAAAGTTGTTGATAAGAAATACAACTACACATGCACTTTAAACAATATAGTTGGACCATTGTCCAAAGATCGAATTGACAATGTTGACATCCCACTGGCTCCATTTGAACAAAATAACGCATCATTCTCAAAATTTTATCAATGCATGGAAACTTCTAAAGAAATTTGTAAATTAATTTTTATTATATCATTATAACAATATCTATTGTAACCATATATTTTGAATTATTTATTTTCATCATCTTTTGACAACAGTTGTAGCAATTGTCATTGACAAACTCCCAAAACAATTTGTCTCAACAACGAATGGAAATTAAAAAAAAAAAAAATCAATGACTTCATTGTTGTGAATGAAAATTAAGTACCTCACTTTATTACATATGCAATAAGAAAAATAATATATGTATTGTATTATACTGTACAATTAATATAGTGGTGATGCATTATGGTATTCGTTTCATCTTGCGAGGAAGTATATGCACTAGAGGTGGGCGTTTCGGGCTTCGGTTCAGTTTTTTCAGTTCTAAAAAAATCAAATCATTCGGTTTAACATTAAAGTTCGCTTCGGTGTTCGGTTCGATTTTCGTGGAAGTTCACTGTTTGAACGTTTCCTTTTTCACCCGATCAATTCTTCAGGTTTCTCACTTCGAATGCCACTTGAAATTTTTTGTTGATGACAAGACATCCATCTATATAATTAATATTTGAAAAACAAAAATTATTAAAAGAATAACTTTCAAATATTCATAAAAATTTTCAACACATAATCGTTTAAAGAAACTGGAATGAAATCCCAGAAACCGAAATATCAATTCCAGTTTGTTCACTAGAATGAAATCCTAGAAACTGGAATTTAGTTCAAAAGGTACTATCATGTATGTATTGACACAAATGGGCCTATAACTTAGTGAGTAAAACTCTTGCTTTCCAAACTTGATGGTTAAGGGTTTGAACATCACCTTGGTCATCCACTCCATTTCATTTATTTCATAACAATTAGATACGGAGTATATTTTATATAAAATAAAATAAATAAAAAAAAATCGATCAGATTTCGATTAGTTAAAACTGAACCGAACCGATCGATTTCTCTAAACCAAGTACCGATCGATTTCTCCAAAAGTGTTTTATTTATATTAGAGGTATTGGATAGAGTTTGTAACAAATATGGTCTTTGATCTAATATTGTTGGACCATATGATCATGTTATGCTCTAGGATTTTATATAAAATACAAAGTCAAGAAAGTTGTTGTCAGTTCCAAAAATCTCTCATCATCCTTTTGGACAAGATCATTCCTTTACAATTGTCTGTTAAACATGCAAACGACTATATATTGGGACTTCCTAAGAGGAAGAAATTGAAGTTTCAAATTAAAGGTGTTCGGACTGTGTGGTATCTGGAGTAGTAACTACATAACCGATAAATACAAACGTTATTGAGAAACAAAGTTGGTGACAATTTGTGTAATCTAGAGGATTAACTCAAATTACATGTATAGACTTCTTCAAAAATTGAAGTTGATTTATAGGATTCATGTTTAAATAGGTGTTAGTCCTACTTTAGTATTTTATTCTGTTTTTCATTAGATATCACTGGTTTCTAAACAACTTTGAATAATTGGTACAAAGTGTAACAACTCGTATTGATACTCCATCAAGGTTATTGCAATCGTACGAGTTTATATTCCTGCATTATATGACACTCAATGTAATAAGATTTAATTTCTCCATTACATCTTCCACAATCCCCCTAATAAATTTTGACTCTTGCGTGCAAATTAATTTCACGATTTTGTACCTAGTAAGAGATGTCTGATAAATAAATACTCGAGTATATGTATATGTTAGGAACACTTGTATTAGGATTTTGATGATACCAATGTAACCTAGAGTGTAGACCCCTAACCTTCGTTATTTTTAATCGCTGCTTTCGTTCTAGACAAAAGTTGCCATAACTCACATTGTAATTCGTGTTAAGCTAGACAAACACACGAAAACGAGTTATGTTCATTTGTTAGGGCTAACACGACGAAAAGAGACACAAAGCACGAAGGCTGAAGCGTCAACAACGAAAGATCATCAAAGGTTATCAACCACCTAGTAGAGACAGTTATCATTTTGACGATTAATCAAGACATTCATTCTCTTCAATAACAAGAAGAATGTCACTACTGTCTGAGTTGACTAACCATCCTAGGAACAAAAGGACCTCAACATGTAGGACACGCATACCAAGGAGCATTAAATGAAGTTGTACCATCCTTTTGAAGCTAAAGGACAAAACCCTAAGGCTATCCATACCCTCAACGGATACATGGTACAGACCACATTAATGGAGCATTTAATGCAGCAAGCTCCCCGGTCCTTACCCACTGGATAATAGGTTTGAAATTTCATCTCCCTCCAACGAATGAAATTTCCCTCACCTATATAAACCCACCTTCATCAACTAAGAAGGTGCTGGTTCTTTTCACTCGATAATACTATCAAGCAAAATCTCTTAAACAATCTCAGTTCTCACCAAGCTTTTGCGAACCAGTGTCAAGGCGTGAAGCTATTTGAAGAAGCTCATTATTCCCTATCTTCCACCTTGAAGAAGTCTTGCATCTTATAAGAAGCGATCATCCTTCATTTAGTCAAGACTTCACCACGTTGGAGAAATCAGAAATCATTTTCTATCAACCTCAACTCTGAAGAAGACGTTGATAGAGGCGGAGTAAACTCGCGGAGTTGAAAAACCTACAGGAAGCTGTCCGGCTTAGTGATCAAGGAAGCTTTCATGTATTTGTGCTAACGAGTGATAGTGCAAACCTTCCATAAGTTGTGGAAGAAGAGTGGAAGTAGGCAAAGTTGGCCGAACCACTATAAAAACTCTCGTCTTCTTATCTCTTTACTTTCGCGATTTTCTTTCTGCATCGTATCATCATTTGCGCCCAAACCGAAAGTTTCATTAAAACATCAAACTGTGCAAAGTAATTAAAACGAACTTAATATTTCCGCTGCGCTGTAACGCCGAAAGGTTGTTATTTGCCAAAATCTGAAAAGAGTCTATTCACCCCCCCTCTAGACTCTCGTTATAACCCTACCGGGACCAACAGTATATATGTATAAATTACCCGGCTGCAGAATGTGTGAAGTCATAGCCAAAGAGATTGGCAGCTTAAAACATGGCATCGTTTGGTGTTTGGTAAAATAGTCAGCATATAGGTCAACGGAAAATGATGAATATCAACCAAATTTGAATTGAAATTAATCATATAATATCGACAATATTTTCTGAGTTTTTAGTGTTTGGATGCCTTAGGAAAATCCAGTCAACGGAAAACATTTTTCATTGACGGAGAAAAATGTAGCAATCGTTATACCGTACGTGCACCACGGCGCACATAGCAATGTGCGCCCCGCCCTCCCAAAACGACGTCGTTTTGTTAAGTTGTGTGGGGAATTGACGCGACGGAGTGTATGTGTATAGGTATTCTGTTAAACAATTATGTATATTCTATTATACAATTATGTACATTCAAAACATGAAATTTTTTTTAAGAGTTAAGAGTTTGTGTTTTATGTTAAGAGTTTATCTATATTATGTATGATGTTAGATTATGTGTATTATCTTTTCAAAAAAATGTATGTGTATTCTGTTATATAATTATGTACATAATTGAATTTATGCCTTCAATTTTGTACGAACTTTGAAACAATTAAACTTGTGTTTCAAGAGTACAAGGTTTCCATATATGATAAGTAGGAGTGCAAATGAGTCATATTTCCCATAGTGGTGTGAAGCATAAATTGCTATATATAACTTCATTTCTTACAATTTTCATTCCATCTTCTTTTGCTTCAGATGGGAAATTTTGCTTCAAAAGAAAAAGAAGACCGATCGACTCTCTCCCTCTTTTCTCTAATCCCCTTTCTCACACATTACACCAGATTTTATTAGTTGTGATTGTTTTGTTTACCATTGGTTCTCTTATTTCATTATCTTTAGTAATATAATAAAATGGTCCAAAATGATGAATATCAACCAAATTTGAATTGAAATTAAACATATAATGCCATAATGACAATATAAAATATGAATCACACTGTCATTTTAAAATGCCATTCTAATATTCTAATTTTGTTCCGGATACAATACACATTACTAGTTTAAATTTCATCATTCCAATTAAACTTGTTTAAGCAAAAAAGGGATTTGAAGCGAAGAATGTAGGCACACAATGAAGCGAGAAGGTTGTTGGCTTGGAAGGAGAATGACAATTGTTACAGGTTGTACCAAGGTTCATATTGTATTGTGAATCTTACTACCAAACATGTAAAATATTTTCACCAATATTCATTATCATTACCAATCAAGTATTTAGGGTCCGTTAGTTTGGAAACTTGGAAAACGACTTCTGAAAAATATTTTTCGACTTTTTAGTGTTTGGATGTCGTAGGAAAATCCAGTCAACGGAAAACATTTTCCATTGACCGAGGAAAATGTAGAAATCGTTATACCGTGCACTACGGTGCACATAGCAATGTGCGCCCCGCCCTCCCAAAACGACGTCATTTTGTTAAGTTGTGTGGGGGAATTGACGCGACGGAGTGTATGTGTATTCTGTTATACAATTATGTATATTCTATTATACAATTATGTACATTCAAAACAGAGAATTTTTTTTAAGAGTTAAGAGTTTATGTGGATGAGATAATTTGAATTTCATTCAACAACGATTAAGATAGAGATTACAATACTAATAGACTAACAACTCCTATCAACTAGGAAACCAACATAAGACTAGGCCTAGTAAAGACTAGTAAACATAACAGGAATATTAAAGTGACAAATAATAATACAAATAATAATATTGCTAACACACCCCCTCAAGCACAAGGGTGGTATGCCACAACATTGGGCTTGTCACGTAGCGCTGCAAAGCGCGGCCCTGGTAGCGGCTTCGTGAAGATATCCGCTAGCTGGTCTTTTGTGGAGACATAGTTGACCATTAACTCTCCGGATGCTACCTTGTCGCGGACGAAATGAAAATCTATCTCCACATGTTTGGTCCTGGCGTGAAAAACTGGGTTAGCGCACATATATGTTGCGCCTAGGTTATCACACCAGAGGGTCGGCGGAACGCCAGTGTGTAGCCCAAGTTCCTGGAGTAACGATACAACCCAAGTGACTTCAGCTGCCACATCAGCTAGGGCTTTGTACTCCGCTTCAGTCGATGAACGAGCTACTGTGCGCTGCTTCCTGGACAACCACGAGATCAGATTAGACCCCAAAAACACTGTGTAGCCACCAGTGCTCTTTCTGTCAAGAGGACAGCCTGCCCAATCTGAATCGGAGTAAGCATGTAGAGAAGAGGACTCGGAGACAGTGAGTCGTAAGCCGTAGTCTAGAGTACCCTTGATATACCGGAGTACCCTTTTAACCAACCCCCAATGCTCAGCTGTTGGTGTGTGCATAAACTGGCACAGTCGATTCACAGCAAAAGATAAGTCGGGCCGTGTGATAGTTAAGTACTGTAAAGCACCCACCACACGACGATACTGGGTTGGATTATCGTGCAGCTCAGCAGTAAATGAGACAGGCTGAGTAACTGCAGCCGGAGTGGCTAGCGGCTTACAGTCAGTCATACCGGCTCGACTCAGAATGTCCTTCATGTACCTGCGCTGGGATAGCATGAGACCAGTGTCAGTTTTGACAGTCTCAATCCCAAGGAAGAACCCAGGCGTTCCAAGATCCCGAATCTTAAACGTCGATGATAGACGATCTAGCAGAGAAGTGATAAGAGATGGATCATTGCCCATCATAATAATGTCGTCGACGTATACTAACAAGTATACTCGTGAGTCAGCCGTGGAGTAATGAAATAGGGAAACATCCGTCTTGGATGATGAAAAACTTGCAGAAAGTAAGTAGTCGTGTAATCTCTTGAACCAGGCCCGTGGAGCTTGCTTAAGCCCATACAAAGATCTCTGTAGGTGACACACGTGATCTAGGTGTGTCGGATCTTCATAACCCGGAGGTTGCTTCAATACTGTTTCTGCTAAGTGCCCATTCAGGAAAGCATTGTGGACATCGAGTTGCCTCAGAGTCCAGCTGCGTGAGACAGCTAGGGAAAAGAGTAGCCTGACTGTAGTCGGCTTGACGACCGGGCTAAAGGTGTCGAAGAAGTCTTCGCCAGCCACCTGATTGAACCCTTTCGCCACAAGACGAGCTTTGTATCGCTCGATTGCACCATCAGCGGTGCGTTTGGTACGGAAGACCCATTTGCACCCGATGATGTTCATGTCCGGTTTGGGTGGAACAAGAGCCCAAGTATTGTTATGTAACAGGGCATTGAACTCCTGGTCCATCGCATCACACCATTCAGAGTGCCCAACTGCCTGTGAATAACAGGTGGGATCAGTGGTTACACTGAGAGCCTGAAAATCTTCGCTAGTGCCTCGGGTCATATGTCGAAGCCTCATTGTATGCCCTCGATCTTGAGGCTCGGTCCGTGCAGCCCGCTTTCTGCGAGCCACGGCTCTAACTGGTGCTTCAATAGCTAAGGGGGTTGCCTCCTGTGCCAAGGGTATTGGACTCGGCGGCCTGTGTAAACCGGAGTCAATAACAGGTACGGGAGGCTGGTGTGATACAACGGGGCCAGTTGCCCAAGGCAAGGCCGGTGGTTCCGGTGTATTTGTATTCTGAGCTGTCAATTCTGAAAAAGGAAAAACAGTCTCGTCAAATCGTACATGACGACAGATATAGACTTTCCCACTTGTTAAATCCATGCATCTATACCCCCTAAAGGAAGACGGGTAACCTAGGAAGACACAGGGTGCCGAGCGATAGTCTATCTTATGCCGATTGTAGGGCCTAAGATAGGGATAACACCGACACCCGAAGATACGCAGAAAAGTGTATGGTGGTTGAGTTTTATAGAGACGACTGTATGGACTTTCAGAATTGAGTACAGGAGTTGGTAAATAATTAATTAGGCTTGTTGCTGTTTCAAAGGCGTAGTCCCAATATTGTTGCGGGACACAGCCTTCAGCTAATAAGGCCAACCCTGTTTCGACTATGTGACGATTCTTTCTTTCGACTCTACCATTTTGTTCTTGCGTGTACGCACAAGATTGACGGTGAACAATACCCAATTTTTCGAATGTTTGATGTAATTTACGGTACTCCCCACCTAAGTCAGATTGAACAGATTTGATAGAACGCGAAAATTGGCATTCTACCATGACTCGAAACGACTCGAAATTTTTATATATATCAGATTTTACCCGTAAGGGATAAAACCAACAAAAGCGAGAATAATCATCTACAAAAAGCAGAAAATAACGAAATCCACTAGTAGAGATTACAGGTGACGGACCCCATATGTCCGTATAAATTAAATCTAGCACATTGCTACTTGATAAAGGAACTCTATTTAATGGAAATCTAGACGATTTTCCAAGCTGACACGAAGTGCACAACCCGCCCGGTGAGGTTTTATTTGGTGTGACAGGACACAACTGTAAGACTTGATTCTGGACATGCGCACGGGGATGGCCCAACCTGCGGTGCCAGACTACCGGTATAGCACGGGATGTGAGAAAAGCAAAATGCGACTGGGAAATAGGAAGCTTGTATAGACCGCCCTCTGTGGACCCTTTAAGCAGAACTGCCCGAGTGACCGAATCCTTCACAATGAAACAATTTTTATGAAACTCAACAAAAACACGATTATCATTTGTTAAACGATAAACAGATAGTAATGGGACCGAAAGATTAGGAACATATAGGACATTTGTTAAACTTAGTGGTTTAGACACAGATGGTATAAAAACATGGCCAACTCGTGAGATCGCCAAACCTGCGCCGTTCCCAACACGCAGAACATCACCACCAGTGTATTCATCAGACTGGGTCAGCATAGACGGGTCCGGCGTGGCATGAGCAGTAGCGCCCGTATCAGGAAACCACCCGGAAGCCGACTGGGCAGCCGCATCTTCTTCGCCCGGAACCACCATGTTTGCTTGCGGAGACTGCTGCGGAGCGTAACGCTTATAGCAGAAAGCAGCCGTGTGACCTTGAGCCCTACATATTTGGCAACGAGGCACGCCACCCCTGCCGTTACGCCCGCGACCACCGGAGCCTCCTCTGCCGCGTCCGCCATTGCCAAAACCGCGTCCGGAATTGTGACTGCCAGAACCATGCCGGCCTCCGTTACGGCCTCCGTTACCACCTTTGCCAGCATAGAACGCTGTTGGAGTTGCATGATCACCAGACGCCGGGTAGTCATCCGCATGAATAAACTCCTGAGCGCGAAGGAAGTCCGCAATTTGTGGAATGGTGACCGCGTTCCCGGCTGCTGTCAATGAAGAAGCCATCGCCTGGTATTCCGGGCGCAACCCCCGGAAGACGAACATATTCTGTTCGTCGAGTGAGATTGGTCTGCCAGCCTGCGCGAGATCCTCCACCAACAATTGCGCACGCCCAAGGTAATCGGATGTGCTGCTGCCTCCTTGTCGCAGACCATGAAACTGGCTGAGTAGACCAAGAGTTCGTGCACGGGTTGAACTGCCGAGTCCTGCGCTAATGGATTCCCAAACATCTTTAGAGGTGGATTTGCCAACCGCAAGATGCATCACCTCATCCGAGAGGGAAGAGATGAGAAGAGACAGCAACGTCTGGTCCTGTTTGATCCAGGCTTTATAAGCTGGATTAGGAACCGGAGTGGAGGTGGATGTCATGGATTCGCCCGTTACCGGAGTAGCATCAATCATGGGTGGTGGACATGGAAACTCGCCATCCACATACCCCATGAGTTCTTGACCACGCAAGAGGGGACTAATTGAGTCCTCCAGAAAAGATAGTTACGGTAGGTAAGCTTTATCGATACGAAATGGTGGGCACCGGAGAGGGTATTTTGGTTAGTGGTCGGAGAGGGAGTGCCACCGGCAGAGATGGTACGCTCAGAGGAATTGGAAGACATGGCGTCAATCGGCCGGATTGTTTACGGAGAGAGAGAGGCGATTGGATTGTTTACGGGGAGAGAGGAAAAGAAAAAAAAGGATTCCAGGTCTAACTGATACCAGATGAGATAATTTGAATTTCATTCAACAACGATAAAGATAGAGATTACAATACTAATAGACTAACAACTCCTATCAACTAGGAAACCAACATAAGACTAGGCCTAGGTAAAGACTAGTAAACATAACAGGAATATTAAAGTGACAAATAATAATACAAATAATAATATTGCTAACAATGTGTATTATGTATTATGTTAGATTATGTGTATTATCTTTTTCAAAAAAAAAAAAAAACATTATGTGTATTATCTTTCAAAAAAGTGTATGTGTATTCTGTTATACAATTATATACATTATATTATACAATTGTGTACATAAGAAATATGAGAATTTTTTTTTAAGAAGTTTACATGGGAAAGTGTATGCGTATTCTGTTATATAATTATGTACATTCTATTATACATTTATGTACATTCAAAATATGATATTTTTTTAAGAAGTTAACATCAGACATGGGAAACGAAATTTCAAAAAAAAAAGTACAAAACGACTTTGTTTTGAGCGAGGATGGACAATGCACGATATAATTTGTCAAAATGTAGACAATTTTGTGGAAAATGCCTTAGCCTATTCCGATTCTGATTCTCATGTGCGAATTAATTTCCTTTTAACTCTGTACTAAAGAAAAAAAAATCTTTTTAACTCCATTCCCTCCTTAATTAGGAAATCTTAAATTTAATTAGACTCCAACATTGATTGTATAGCAATCCGCAATGAGGAGGATTACTAGTGCTGTGGGAGAATACAATTTTATTTTGCGTTAAATACACCAGTCGATTGGATACTCCAAATTCCAAAAATCCTGAAAACCCATTATCGAGCTGAGCCTGAGGATACTCCAAATTAACCCTAAAACTGTACGTACTCCTGCAAATTAAACGATGAGCGCATCGGAGAAGACAACGCTACCTCTTCATCTTCATCTTCTTCCCCAAGACATTCTCTTTGAGATCCTCTCCAAGCTCCCCGCTAAGTCGCTAGTACGACTCAGGTGCGTTTCTAAATTCTTTTCCGCTCTCATAGCTGATCATGCCTTTGGCGTTCTGCACCGCAGCTTGTCCTTCAAACTTCCCAGTAGGGCGGGCATCCTCATGGCTATCATACCTCGAACTCCGCTCTCTTCCGCCCCTGTGTATTACACCATAAATAATTTCAGCGAAGAAACCCTCCAAGCCAACCGTCTCGACTACTTGGACGCTGATGAACCCTTCCCCAAAGGTTGTCTACACTCCTCCTCGGATGGCCTAATTTGTCTGTCCAAACCCAATGGAGACGTCGTTGTTTGCAATGTTAGTACCGGACAACGTGTTTCCCTTCCAAGATTCCAATTCAACTCCCCCCATCGAACTCAAATCTGTTCACTATTGGGGTTCGATTCACAATCTAAAAGATACAAGGTTTTGATGATTGATAGGAGGAGGAGCATTTTCGAGTATAAGCATTGGGTTTTGACCGTGGGAGTGGATAAATCATGGAGGGAGATCAACTATTCTTCCCACCCCTTCTCTCCATTTGATGGCTTTGGCTGCGTTGGCCAATCCGATACTAGTGTCCACATCGATGGCGTTATCTATTTCTATAATTGGCTGACTAAAGATGACCCTCCTAGCTTCCACATAGTAGCATTTGACGTTGGGTCCGAGAGTTATTCTTTGATACCAATTCCACCTGAAGTTACATCATCATCACGGGTTCATTGTATAGGGAAAACATATTGCTGTTCTGATTTTGTTTTCAAAAATTTTGCATTGCTACAAGTTGATGGAGGTCGATTGGCTATCGTTTATGTTCGCAAAAGAGACCAACAATTCTACATGGATGTTTGGATTTTGGAGAAATCTAAGGGATGCTGGGAGAAGATTACTACAAAAATTCCATTCAATTTGAGAGTAGAACAATCAACGAAGTATCGCTATACTACAAATCATGCTGGGGAGGTTGTGTTGTTAGGTAAAAATAATAAACAATTTATCATTTTTGTTTGTAACTTGAAAAGTAAGACTTGGAGAAAATTTGATATAGGTGGAGTTAAGGAATTTCCAATTTGTTTGCTTGCGGAGGTTAGAATGTACAAGACTATGGACAATGTATTTTTTATTGAGTAGTTTGATTTTTTGAATGTTTGAATTATGAGAGAACTTTAGGGTTGACAGCAAGTTTTGTTGATAAGAGAGGGCTTAACTTGGTGAAAAAGTTGAACTACTAGTTAATTTCATTAATTTGAGAATGTTTCCTTTTTATGTATTAGTTGATATATAACATGAAAAAATTATGGACAATTGAATGACTAAGTTTGTTCAAATCAATTGATATATAAAGGTGAAATTTTTTAAAGTAAAGTATATATATTATAGGGAGACAAAGAGAACCTACCCTTAGAAGAAAATTGAGAACCAATTTTAGCTATCGATTTGGGAATGATCAAACTAAAACAAGAAGAAAATGAAGTAGCATTTTCATAAATATTTCAAATCTTAAAATGCAATTAATAGTATTGTAATTAAGTCATTAGATTGCATTCATGTGTATAAAGTTAGGAGCTCCTTTTCATATATGGAGTATATATCAAATAATAACAATATCGAATTCTAAAATTAATAAGAAATGTGATACATTTTGCAATTTAATAAAATTAAATCAATTACTTTAATTTTAGATAATTGTCATCTAAATTAGATGATAAATTAGTTCATCTGGAATAATACTAAATCCATTAACTGATCGAAGAACATAATCGTAGTGGTCCATTCGAAATGTGAACCCGTTGCCAATTAAGTAACCCTAATGTAACTTAACTTGCAAGACAAGTTACATATTTGTGCATTGAAATTTTTACCTAACCTTAAGGTTAACGAGTGGGTTAAATCTTGCTTCAATCCCTACCATTAACAAGAAAGCAACTATTGAAGTATAGGGTGTTAAAAATTTTAATCTAAAAACATAATAAGTCTCAATCTAAATTATATCATTGATTTATGTCTGTTTTTTCTATTAAATTTTTGTATACATATATGGTATAAGAGTTGTACAATACAATTTTGTGGACAAAAACATTCATGCATGTCTTTATAACTAGACTAATGACCTCTATTATATTGCACTATTAGAGGGATGCTAGCTAGTCTAAGGTCTCCCTAAAGAAATACACGAGTAAATATGTATAAATTAGTCCTCCAGAATGTGTGAAGTCATAGCCCGAGAGTCTGACTAAAAGACTGGTCGGAATTTCCGTCCAACGGTTCAAAGTTGGACTGAAATTTCCATTCTATAATGGTGGGTTAACATACGAAATTTTCGTCTAACAGATCAAAGTTGGTCACAATTTATGACCAACAGGTTGGTCGGAATTTCTGTTTAATGGTCAAAGGTGGACGGAAATTCCAATTCTAAAAATTGTGGGTTACCATTCGGAATATCCGTCCAACTTTGACACGTTGGACGAAAATTCCGACCAACATCTATTGTTGGACGGAATTAACGAGGCTCATTTTTCTAAACCCTCGGTTTGGACGGAATGTTGGTCGGAAATCTGTTTTCCGACCAATAACCCCCATTTTCTGTACGGAAATAGACAGATTTCCAGTCGTGCATGCATTTTTGCAAGGTGATTTATAATTTGAGGGTATTAAGGTAAAATAACCATTATATCATAAACAACAACTTCTCATTACTAAGAAGAAGAAAAAAAAAGAATTTTGAGTGGTTAATAATATCATTTAAACATATTTGTTAACAGATGAAAAAAATGATCATGCCATAATAATGTTAGAACCAACAAAGAAGTTTTGAAAAAAAAGGGACTAAATCTGGAATGACACATAAATCTAGAACCAAAAAAAAAAAAAGGAAATAGACTTTACACAAAGAGAACTGAATGGACCAAAAATGCTATTTTTTTTTTTTGAAATAAAAAATGCTATTGTATTTAACCCATTTAAATTGTTTTATTGATGGGGTAAAAAATGGTCATGTCACAATAATACTATGATCAAAATGAAATGTTTTGAAAAAAATGACTAAAGTAGACTGACACTTATAGATTTAGTACAAAAAGTGAAATTAACTTCATATTAAAACAATGATAATTGGGCTCCTTGGTTTAGTGATTCTAATCCTCAAGTTGGCGGAAGTGTGAAAATGGCTCTCTGTGTAGACTGTAGGGTACGGTCAAGTAGTCAACAATATATATGGACTGACTTGTATAGGAAATTACTTGGCAACTTGTAATTTACCTCCTCCATCAACTATTAAATAAAAATTCTAAGAGATTAGATTAATTTAGTGTTTGAACAGATACTACAATATAATAGAGTTAGTAGCATTCAAAAAAAAAAGAATTAATTTAGTGTGAATTGAAAAATCTATAGAGCTTTAATTTACTCCTAGCTACTATCATTTATTTATTTATTTTTATTTATTTTAAAACATAGATGATTTCATCTTTGCCTGACTAATCCAGTAATCCTAAACCCACATAGTCTTGGCTCTAAAGCCACTGAAGAGACAAATTGCAAATCTCACAACTTATCCATCAATATGATCATATCATAGTCTTCAATTCATATGCACACAATGGATATATACTATGGGGTTATGACATATAGTCAAATACTTGTACTGTAATGGATACAATTGGCCCTATATATTATGATTAGTAGGAGTATTTGACTATATATATGAATTAAGTATTTGAATGGAATGAGATCTAACACTGTATATACAGATGAAATGCTATCCAAGTATATATAACCCAGCCTTCTTCTTCTGTATCAGCTTTTGCATCTCCTGCCTTCTTCACACATTCATCATCAGCAGCTTTCATCAGCTTTTCAGTTATGGTCTTCTTCACACCTTCATCAGCTTTCATCACATTTTCAGTTATGGCCTTCTTGACAGCCTTCATCATCAGCTTTTCAGTTATGGACTCAGCACCCGGTTGGTTAAGGACTTCCTCTATATCCTTTAAAACTGCCTCATTATCTCCTTCTTCACCTGGAAACTTGCCAAAACTCAAAATTCTTAAGCTATTTTCCAACAACCTAACAACTGATCATCCTCAATTTAGCCTTATCACATTATTGGCAAACTGTATGTAATGTAGATATATCCAAGAGTGAATTACACATGATCATCTAATTAAGCCTTTAAATGTAATCATATCGGCAACCTCTACACCACTCTCCAAATTTTTTGTGTAGCAAATTGTAACATTAGGGGACGAAGATTGGCAATCTAAGCAGCTTATACATACGAGTTGTATTTATAGGATTTTTGCCTACATCCATTCTTGGAAGCTCTTCAGAGTCTTCAGCGTTCAGCATACCAGACAACAGTATAGTTTAATATTAGGATCATTTTCAGATGTGATTTGTGAACTACAATACAGAATTTGTTTGTGGTAGAAATATAAAAATTTTCAGATTGTTTAGGGAACATTTCTTCCCGGCCTGGGATTCATCTTTCTGTATGAAATTAAAACGAAATCACTGTCTTCCCTCCAAAATAAAACTCTTCAAGAAATTAAACATTTCCGGCCACAAACTAGTAGTTGAATTACTTAAACTTAACTGTATATACATAAAGAAAAGATGTATACCTTTAGCTGGGACCTTAGATGAGACTTCATCTTCAACTCTTTTTTCATCAGTTCCAATAGCGATCTCCTTCGTTTCCGCCATTTCTGACCTTTAGGAAACCAAAAGAAAAAGAAATCTACATGAAATTGGAAGGACAAGTTAGTTAGTTATTGAAATCTACTAAAAACTGAAATCACCTGCCACTACTGGAAATTCTGAAATTTCCGACCACCTGAAAGTGATCTTAAATCAAGTTGAAAGTCTTGTTCCGACCACTTTTGGTATCCGGAAAAACCTTTGTTGCTATTTCCGACCACTTTTTGCACTTTTTGGTATCAACTTAATTTAAGATCATTTTCAGGTGGTCGGAAATTTCAGAATTTCCAGTAGTGTGCACAATTATGAAGTGCAATGAAGATCAGGCGGAAAAAAATTTTTGAGAGAGAAAGAAAGACAAAGTATCATACTTGTATAATTAGAAATGGAGTTACAATTTTGTGAATAAAATAATAATTATTATTATTTAAAAAATTGACGTAACATTTTTTTTTGGTAGCGGTGAGCAATTAAGTTACTTTTAAAGCGCCCAAGATCTGATAGTCAAGTAGCATAATAAGAAATGACAGGAAATGCATTGTTTCATGTGAGACTTAAACCACCATTTTAATGTCATAAAATATTTCTTAAGGTGTGTTTGAGAAGATGGATATATTAGTATTAACGTGACATTTAAATTTGATTTTTGGAAAAGATTATAATCCTTCATAACAAACCATCAATTCTAGAAATAACAACAGCGATTAGTGGTAACTTCAGTCATGATCGCAAGAGATTCACACGTGTAACCACAAGGTCACAAGATTGAATCTTTTCCCCGTTGGTTTGACCGGTCAGCTATATACGGGTAACTTAAGTTGGTTTACTTCCTTATGGATATTTGCCTGCTAGGATTACAAGGCGGAGTTTACTCACACCTCACACTCAAAAGGGTTTCCATCATCATTGGAAAAAAAAAAAAAAACAACGGTTACAAAGTTAATTTCGGTGAAAAGCGATTACGTAGTTAATTGAAATTGGACCCTACAGATATTTGTACCATAAAATGACTACTCAAAATGCTAGCAATTAGTTAGCTAATATTTCCTACATATGTTTTACCCCCAACTAATTAATAATTTAAAATGTTAATGAATATCCATTGTATTTATGTGGAAAACTATCTTATGTGAGACAAATATTAAATTTTTTAATACTTGTTAGAAAAATATAATACTTTTTATTGGTTGATAAGTATTAAATTTTCACTACTTCAATTTATTCATACAATTCAAGAAGCAAGTTATATTTAATTTATTGACTACTAAATAAATATTACATTATCGTCACACTAACATTTTGTACTGTTGGATAGCACATGGAATGAATATATCGAAACACATTTTTTGCTTGTTTTATTTAGAACACTTATCATGCTTTATTGCTTTTATGAACCACTGAATATTTCTTAATCATGATTTAACATATGATAT